CCCCCCCACCCCTTTCCTCTCCTTTTCTCTCTTTCTTCCTAATGTTTCTGCACCAGAAGAAATAAAGAATCTTGTTTGGCCATAAGAGGAGCTTGCTGACACTGCATCTCAAAAGAAATGAGAGTAGTGAAGTTGATCAACTCAAGCATAAGAGGGACTGTGGGGTGGAATGAATGATTGTGAGTGAGTGGTGTCATTATCTCCTAGTTCTTCTAAGGTATTTAGTAGCGTACACCCAGATCCATGTGTGGAGAGGTAGAAATTAGAATTCTTGTCAGCCATTTTTACTGTGCATGGACAAGTGCCGTGTCTGTCTCCGACATTGATTTCACAGTGCCAAATAAAAGGCAAGGCAGTGGAGGAAATCCTTGAAGCTGCAGTGTGAGAATGGCAGATGCTCTTGATCATCTCTTTGATAAGCATGTCTGTGTTAGACAACCATCACCATAGTAACCTTAAGAAACTGGGTGCACAAGTTGCTAGGCAATGAAATGCTGTAGGCTCAAACAAATGCATGAGCCTTCTGAAATCATTTGGGTTAGCTTCTAGTTCTACTTCAGGATGTCAGATTGTTATTTTTTTATTTATATTAAGGAGAAAAGTAATGTCACAGCAGTGTTTCCCTAAAGAGACTGCACCGTGTGGGAGAGTCGGTGAAAGACAAGAAAGCAGACAAATGGGATAAGGAAGGGGGAAGAAGTGGTGGGTTGAAGTGCTAGGGAGCAAGGAAATTGGGATGCCACTGTAAATTAAAAAGTAGTACAGGAAAGGAGCTAGTGTAAACGAGGTAGTGACTGCTAAAGGTTAAACTAATTTTAGTTGCTTTAGGAAAGAAAGATGAAAAGGGAATTTCAGGTGATACAATGGTAATTGAACATAGGAAAAAGTTTTTCTCATGTATTTGCTTTTAATTAGCCCTTTAAACAAATTCCAAATGCTGGACTTCACTAACTTCTCAGTTCTCTGGGTAGCTGTAGAAGGAACAGAAGTGCAGTTGTCCCTGATGGTGCATCTGTGTCCTGTTGTGATGAAAACTCCATTGTTAGTGTTTTTTGGTCACTTTCTAGTGTGGAACCCAAACTGCCTGAGCTTGCAGCAGAATTGCTGCTCACTACAAAAATGTCCTTTAGTTGCAAGGAACACTTGTCTTCCTACACTTGATTTCACAGCTTGCAAATGACATCTTCTTACTTATTGCAAATTAGATCACAGTTGAAATTGCTTTGGAAGTTTTTTGGTTTGGGTATTTTTTTCCTGGAACAGTTAAATTTAGAAAATACCCAAGTGGTGCTACTTCCAGATGGGTAGGTTAGAGCTGCTTAAATCTACTTTCTATATGTTCTTTCTCTTTTATTCTATATTTTGCTATAATTCACAGCCTTAAGTAGAAAGTACAGGATTGTCTTGGATCTTGACTTAATTAAAAATACAGCTAGTTGAAGACAGCAGTTTCACTTGGACAGAAGGCGAAAATCCACTATGTCATCTTACCATAACCACCTACATTGCACTTAAAAGTTCATTTTACTCTTAAGTTCATCAGGACAGCAGAGTTTTTATATTATTCTCAGATTAATTTTTCCCTGCTGCTGCTGGCTGCCTAAAATCAAACACCAGTTTTAAAAAAGAAATAAAATAATTATTTTAATACCAGAATACCAGGCTCATAAAGCTCTGTCCTTCAGGGCATGAGCCCAGCTGGTTATGAGTTCTAAATTGTTCTGTTGCTTGTTGAATGAAGCAATTGATAGTCATCTGTGATAGCCCTGAAAACCTCTGTGACCAAGAGCAGAAAAGTAGTGGGCAAACTCAGGAGTAGGATTGGACCTATGTCGTATCTATACCTCCTCCTCGAGACTGATCCCCTTCAAGGAAAGCAAAGAGTAACTTGGATTACTTGGAGTAACTTTCCTTTGACTTCAGATGCAATTACTCTGTGGAGCACAGCTTTGCAACTTGTATGATTTGCAGCTGAGTAGCCAGTGCAAAGTACTGCATCTTTGTGAATGTTTGCAGCTTTTGAATTTCAGCCTTGTTTATAGATGACCACCAGTTGGTATTGCTAAGGTAAATAGTATAGGAGGTGACTAAGGTGTCATTTTTCTAGGAAGTGGAGTGTTGTGCAAGGCCTAGACTCGATATTGTACAACCCCTGCCTGAGTCCTGTGAGGAGATCTCTTCTGATGCACTAACAGTACGAGGATTTCAGGAAAATGAATGTCGTGATTATCATTTAGGTAGGTGTTCTCAATATTGTTTTGGTTTGTTTTCATACCTTGCTTAAAAAATTATTTGAGTGTCCTTAACCTCCTTTTTCATTTTTATGTCATCTTTTTGTCATCTCCTTGAACAGCTGTAACTGCTTATGACACTGAAGTGTAGAGTGGAAATCCACAAGAACCAGTCATATGAAAGAAAACAAGTGTGTGTATTTAAACATCATGATTTTTAATGCCAGCTATTAGGTCAGACATACTGGAGAAGGCAGAAGTATATTCCTCATGTAATGTTCAGTATTGTCAAAGGCAATATCTTTGAAGGAAATTTATTGAACATATGATCCATAGGAGCTCTTTTTACACAAAGGGCTTCAGGAATAATGAAATGAGTGGCACAATGTCTGGAAAAGCTGCTTTAGAGGGAATGATTGAATAAGTATAATTTCAAAAGTAAGATGTACATGGGTCGACTTAAAAGGAGCCCACTGATATTTAGCTTCTCTGTACTGACAAAGCTGCCAGTTATATTACAGACCTCAATGGTAAAATGGAATTAATAGGAGCTGGATTTTGGCAAGCTTCACCTAGAAGATAGGTTTAATTATGTAACAGGAAGGGACATTAAGCCCTGGCACAATATATGCCATCCTTTAAAGATGGGATAGTCTTCTGACCTATATATTGTAGCTCAGAAAAATGCATGGCAAAGATGATGCAGAATTCTTGGTGAAGATTCTGTAGCCTGTGTTATACAGAGGCATTTGTTCTGGCTTTTAAAATCCATTAATCTGAATTTTAAGTATCTCCTCTGGGGCAGCATGCTTCAAATCATAGGCTTGGCAAAACTCTTTGTGTACGTCTATGCCCTTAAGCCACTAGAAATACAGTCTATCTCCTCCTGACCTCAAAAACATAGCTGCTATCAGTAGAATTGGGGTTTCTTTATACATCTTCCAAAGCAGAACATTGATGTCCACAGCTGTACTTTTGTGCTTTATTAATATTCTACTTTATCTGAAAAATCTAAATGTTATGTATGGTTTTAAGACAAGCATTATTTTGTGAATTGCGTATTATTTCAAGAGTGTATTTGTATGTGTTTATAGAAACTGATCTGGACAGTGAATGGTTTTCTATTCTGTACCTACAAAGTATTCCTGTTTCTTCATGGTTCTGTCCAAATGATAACTATTCAGAGCAGTCATCTTCTGCATTTGATTTGACCTTTTAGTACTTTTTGTTTGAGTTTACTCAAAAATAAAGGCTTATGGTGTAAGAAAATGCATTATACAAATAGCCTTAACTTGCAGCATTGTAAATGCATTGCTGTAATGATATACTGTGTCCCCAGGGGTTATAGCATCTATCATTTATGCTTTTGGTGGCCTTGACCTTGATGGGAAGGATAAGTTTATTGCAGGCTGTGTAGTGTAATAGTCCTCTAAAAGGATAATAATGGTTTCTAAACCATCATAAATTTTACGCATAGTGGATGAATCGGAATTTGCAATAAGTTGTAGTGTTTCTTTAAAATATATTTTTCCATTTAAACCAGTTTTAATTTCTTGGGGAATACAGCATCCAAACTAGTGTGTCCTGCAGGAGTAGCCTTGCTGTCTTCCTCTTTGTAAATTCCCCTGAAGGGTATGCTAAAAAGAAGAACTTTACTTAAAATATAATAATAATAATAAAACTGTGTCTGCATTTGCAGAGTATTCAGAAGGCGAATCACTTTTTTATATCATCAGCCCAAGAGATGTGGTTGTGGCCAAAGAGCGAGACCAAGATGATCATATTGACTGGCTTCTTGAAAAGAAGAAATACGAAGTAATTTTTACATCATTCTTTCCTTCAGACTTTCCTTGTTTGGAAATTGGAGTAGGATGATTGACTTTGCTAGATCATTTGGACCGTTCCTGTTCCTAGAGTCATTGACTAAATGCTTTTAAAGGATGGGAGTTAACTATACATTACTCCATCTGTTACAGAGTTAGTCTCACTACTGAAGCAACTAATCAGAATTTCACCCAAGTGAGGTAGCTGAATTAGATGGTGAAAATACTGCTCTCATCATCAGTTGTGAAATGTATTAGCTGACACTGAAAATTATTAAAGCTGGGTTTTGGCTTTAGAACTGCAGAAGAGTTAACTAATAAGCTGTGCTTTTAAAAGTAAAATACTATGGTCTTAAATTGTGCCTGCACCTGCTCAAAGTAGTGTTGCTCACAATAAGGCTGATCCAATATTAAAAGACAAGGGTATACAGCTCTCTTGGAAAAAAAACAGCTCACCATTTGGTTGCATAAGTACTGGTGTTTCAGTATGTGTATCTAAACACCTAAAGCAATAAGTTCTTTCATACCATATGAACATTCACACAGTGGTCTGAATTCTAATATCCTGCATTTTTTGACTTAGAACATTTGTTATGGTGCATAAAGTTAGCTTGCAAATTCTAATTTATTTTTGTTCTGTGCCCATTATAAGAAAAAAAAGGTGGAAAAGCCATTCAGCTTGTATTGGTTTTGCTAATATAATCATGATATTTCTCATGCAGATTTGTTTAAATCCTTGTGGATGCTTTTGCATTGGAATAGCAAACTTGTATGATGACTGCAGTTTTGCAATATATGTAAATCACAGCATTTGGTCCCTGAAGACTCCAGTAATTTGCAAGTGACAGCTGTGTATGTGCCTTTATGAAAGCCATTCAAGTTAGTAGACAGGCCTGTTATGATGTAGCTTAAAGGTTTCATTTTTGTTTGTAAAAGTGCCAGCTTTTTTTCTATAAGTTCAAAAAAATTAGAAGAAGAAGAACAGCAAATGACACTTAAATATAAATAATTCTGACTGAAGAAGACATTTGGGCTGAGGAACTGGAAGGTAGCTTTCCTCCATTTGTCACTTTTCCTGTTGGTTTTTTTCACAGGTTTTGGTAGTGAAGTGGTCTCTTTTGAAAGTGATCAAATGTGATTGCATTGTGTGTTTTGTTGTGATTTGATCTTAATATAATAATGTGGAGTGAACCCAGATGGAAACAAAAGTAGTTTGCTCTTTGCTTGACTGCTTTTGTTTGAGTATGAATTCAAAGCTGTTTATCCAGCCATGGCATTAAAAATTCTAGTGTTTCCAACACCCTACTCTGAAAAACAGTTGATTTATACAGTTCTAGAGCTTTCTATATTGAAAGATTTGACTGGTTTCTCTGTTTTCTCCTTTTTGAATATAGGAAGCTTTGATGGCAGCTGAGATCAGTCAGAAAACCATAAAAAAGCACAAGATTTTGGTAAGTCTCAGAACTTCTATTCAAAATAAAATATCTTATTTCTTTTAAAATGCTGTGAGATGCAACAAATACATTCTCTGTTTTTTATAACACCAGGCAATATCTGTTAGGCATACTCCAACTGGCATCCAATTCCTTGGTTTCAGCTTCAGAACAGGAGTGTTAGTCCATGAAACATAAAAGGATCTATGTTTTATAAAGGTGCTATTGGCATTGAAAGGAAGAGAATTCTATTTCTCTGATTGCTGATGGGGGTTTTTGTTTGCTTTTACTTCTGTAATAAATTCACTGTGGTTTGAAGTAACACACAGTATTTCACTATTAGAGATTGCAGGCAGGAGTGACAAATCTCTTCTTAACTTATACCTCGTAAATGTGACAGGATTTTGTAAAAAGTTTAAGAGATACTCCTTTTCTCACATATTTATTTCCTATGTTTATAGTCCCTTTCACAGAGCAACAAAGGGTATCAATGTTTAGAACAAAAAGGGAAATGGCGTAATAGACACAAAATTGTCACTAATTTTACCTTTTGTTTGTTTGGTTTTGTTTAAATTCACTAATACTGATGCTGCTTTAAATTGAAATCTGTACAAAGTGTTCAAGATGTGTTCAATTTTTTTGCCAGATTACTCATATTATAAGCATGCTGTATATCAGTATGTCTTAAAAACTTTTATTCTTCTGTAGTCCAGAAATTGAATCAAGATTTAAATGGCATGCCATTACCTATCACAGAGTTTGCATTTAACAAAACTATTCTGTGACCCTTGCAAAAGGTATAAAGAATGGTTAAAGGCGGTCCTGGCAATGCATTAGGAGGAAAAAAAGAAAGCCAAACAGACAAGCACCAAACTAAATAAAGAAACCTCACAGATTTTCTTTTGCTTTGCAGAAATTTGCTCTGCAATAAATTATTAAATTCAGTGAAATACAAGCAGTTTTTTAGAGTTTGGTCTAAAGCAAAAGCTAACAGAATGTGTTGAGGAAACAAAATGTGGACATGAAGCGCTAAGTGAAGGATTAGCGGTACACTGATTTGAAACAACTCATGCTCTCACTGCCTAGTGACACCACACTCAGGATACCTGACAAGTCAGGTAGCCTTGAGGATTTTTTAGATGGAAGTAATTATCACTGCTCCTCTGTACCTCTTGAGCCACCACAGAGATCCTAAAACAACCAGATCTACATCTCTTTTCCTTATACATCTTCTCTGCTCACTGGGAAGCTGGTCCACAGGAGAATTGAAGATTTCTGTCAGCCTCTTTCTTAGGAATGGTGAAGTTGAAAATATGAATGTAGTTCCTATAGCATAATGAAATCCTAAAATCCTGTGTATGTGCATTTTTTTTCTAACTTTGTCGTAGATTGTCTAGTTGAAGTTGTTGCATACCCCTATTCATATTCTGTTATGGTCAGTACTGTCCTTGATATTGATCAAAGAATTGTTATGCCTCGGAAGATGCAAATGTTTAATTTTTTTTAAGAATCAAGGACTTCTTTTTTATTGTACAGCTTTGTTTTTTTCTTTTCTCTTTTTTTTTTTCTTTCTAAAAACAATGTGCTTTTTTTAGTGATGGGATTCGTAAGTTATGCAATGAGTACGCTGCATTGTGTCAAAATGGACATGAGTGTTGAGATTACATTAGGAGGCTCATTCCAAAATTTTAATAGATATCAGAAACATTTTGCAACTTACTTGTGTGATGAACTTTGAGAAAGAAAATTTGGTATGTAATAACTAATAATCTTGTTAAGTTCTCAGTAATTCCTGCTCCTTATTGAGCAGCATTAGGATTTATATTCTCAACCAACTTTTTGCCCTCCTCTGCAAACTGTGTTGACAAAGAGCATGTCTTATACAATGACTGGTGGTTTTCTTTCTGAACTAATTCAAGCACAGCAAGATCAGCTATGCGTTTCAAACAATCCTTAATAATTAGAGGTGGTAGTCTTCTCAGCATCAGTGAGGTTATAAGAATTATTTAAAAGAGCACCTTTAGTTGAACCTGTGAGCAGCCTATGCAATTATTTTGTATTGACTGTTCTGTGGGTCCTACTTCTAAAGGAGAATCAGGGCATGCACTTAGAGCCTTGAATTTCCAGCTGTATGCACTACTGTTACAGTAGTTCTGTACAGTAGTCAGGTAGTTCACTTCCAAACTTTTATAACTAATTCTCTGGTTTTATTCCCTCTAGGACATTGGCTTAGCCTATATAAATCACCTGGTGGAGAAAGGAGAGTATGATCTGGCTGCTCGGTAATCTAGTATTAAAGATGTTCTTTGCTGGCTGAAATGTGTCTGTGTGGGGAAAAAGCAAAAACAAATTATTGATTCTGAAGTATTTGCGCATGTTGATTTTCTGTGTGTTCTGGAATTTCTCAAGTTTCAAAACATAGAGGTGTATTGCAGTGCCATGTATTTTTTTGCCTGTAGTGACCTAAAAGTTTTAACTGGAATTGAGGCATATATTTTTGAAAGTAAGCCTTGATTTTTCAAGGTCACACTAGATTTTCAAAACTAAGGTTTTCTTTGGATTTTGATAAACTCATTTTATTAGTGTGTCATTGCACATAAGACCATCAGAAAATAATTTAATTTTGCATAGGTATAAATAATAATGTCAAACATGAGAATCTAAAGTAAGGATCAGAAATTATCCAAGGTTTTTGTGTTCATGTACATGTAAGCATAAGCATATCTTTTTAAGTGTTCAATTTTTCTCAGCTGAGATTTAAAGACTTCACTCATAAAGCTATCCAAGAGGGTGGCATCTCTGCCTATGGTGTGTGGATTTCAACTAGATGATGTTTAAGCTCCCTTCCAATCCAAACCATGCCATAATTCTATGAAAGCTAATATGGCCCTAATCACTAAGGATGAATGCATAATAAGCAGTTAGTCGTCTCGGATGCAACAAAATTTTAAGGTTTGAAAGGAAGAGAACCTGGCATACTCTACTTAAAGTGGTGGTTGCCAAAATAAGTCACTTTTACAAGTGTCATGATAGGGAGACGAAGAAAGGAATCCTTGTAGTAATGCTGTCACCTTTGTATTACTTTATGTACTTACTTTTGTTCTCATCTCTTTCATTTTCCTTGCAGAAAGTGCCAGAAAATCCTTGGCAAAAACACAGAACTCTGGGAATTTGAAGTTTACAAGTTTAAAGAAATAGGTCAGCTTAAAGTAAGTTAATTCCTGTGTTTGCACTCAAGTAATTTGTATGTTGTACTTACTGTTTGTATTGACCAAGTATCTAAAGCATCACATTTAATGGGCCTGGTATTGCTGCCCCAGATCTCTGTTTGTTTCTAGACAGCTGTCTTTCCAATTGATGTGTAAATTACTTAAAACAAGATTGGAGGCATAGTGCTACTTATTTTACTTGTTGGCAGTCTCCAACGTGAAACACCTGCCCCCAAAGCTTTTACTTGCTAAGATGCTCACAGTTACATCTTTCCCATTTACTTTTCATTTGTTTCCAGTATGTCCTAAAAAATCTACCCCAGTTATTAAGGAAAATAGGCTATGTGGGTGCCCATCATTCTGGCAAATCCAGGTCCATTGCAACTTTAAGTGTTAAAGAATTGCAAAGCAGCAGTGAAAACCTATGCAGTGTGCTAGAAATGGTGGTGAGAAAGAGGAGCAGTCTGCACTGCCTGGTGTTTTCCCTAGTCACAAGTCAGCTACTACAACAGTACACATTTAATGTGAGAGTCTCAGTTAATAAATTGCATAGGACATAAAACCTAGTACTGTCACTGCTAAACCAATTGAAAACTTTATGCACACTCCCTTTGGTAACATGTGTACATTTACTTCTCAATTTTATGTCTTCCTATTCAAACTCAATGAGCCAAAAAGGAAATACTATTAAGATCTCACAGCATGCAGTCCCTTGCTGGTTTTGAGCTATTTAATTCTGTTCAAAGACCAAAAGGGTTTCAGCATTATGAATTTCAGAAACGTCTAACTTTGGTTTCAGGGCCACTCCAGTGCATAAACAGCCTTGCCTTTAGTATGACTTCTTTGTGGTTTGGTGCATTCTTTACTACTTTGGAAGATGAAATCCTATGTTTCTGTTTGTTTATTTCAGTCCAGTAAAGGACTTGAATGCAGGTACAGGTGATTTTTTTTTATACACTGCTTCTTCTTTTGGGTTCATTTTCTTTTTTAGCTGCAAATATCTGGAAGGATGTTTCTGTTGTCTCCACTTACATCATCCAACAGACTGTAAAATACAAAAATATTCGCAGGTTTGTTGCAAAAACATCTCGCCTCAATTACCAGTTTTCTAAACAGTTGGCTGTTTTCAGCCTTTAGAATATCTCTTTTCTTCTTAGAGCCTAGGCCCAGGAACTCTCAGGAATACATGAGATGCAGTCCATTACATTATTCAGCTTTAAGTTGCATTTCTAGAAAATGCCTGCCTTATTTCACTATTTCAGTTGCATATAACTTTTCCCAGATTTCTACAGATGTCTGAGTATCATAAGGGATTAACTAAACTGAGCCAGATCTGAATTAAGGGGTCCTTGTAATGCTTGGGATCACTTGTGTGGAATTTTTACCTATTTACGTGACTAGCAGATATTAAACACCATATTGTAACTGGCCTATAATGGCTTTCAGCCCTGATGAGGAGACTATTGAGATGTGGAAATAGAGTTTATTTCAAAACAGAATTATCTTGGAAGAATTTGCACTGCTTATAAGTTTTCAGGCAACAACAGATTTCAGACACAGGAAGACAGGGAATGGGGATTGATTGACAGGGAATGATTGTCAGCTCATCACACGTTGCTTCTTTGTCTGCTCAGGTAGAGGAGTCCTTCTCCTTCTCTCTTCTGAAATCTGTTGTTGTCTGAAATCTGATTTTTCAAATCTAGCATGATTTGCCTATAACTAAGGTGACAGTAAACTAAAATTGAAATTTACTTCCTGCTCAGAGGAATTAGTGATACCCCAATGTCAAATTCTATGGGATGAGTGTTGTTGTTTGTGTGTGATTTTAGGGGGTTTCTGAGTGTTCTCTATTAAGCGGTCCTGTTTGGCTACCAAAGATTGCATTTTGATATCTTGATGTCTCTTGTCTTCAATGAGCATCCTCTATGAAACCTAGTTGTGTCAGTTTCAAGACTCTAGAGCCTTGCAGTGATCTGTTCCTCTCCTGCTCCAGCAGTGGTGGCTTGAGGAAGTTACATGCTTGTGCTGCCTTTTGCCCAAGTTGGAAATTAAATTTGACATAATTTTAGGAAGGAGGTAGTATAAAAGAGAATCTTTAGTTGAAGGCCTTCAGGAGCAGTTATGGAAAGGTGTCCACAAAAGCCCACCCCTACAGAGATGAGTACACATTTATAGGTTTTAGGAAATTAGCATAATTGATAAAAAGCACCAATTAGGAGGACAAGTGGTGATGCAATTCCACCCCAGGTCAAGACTCTTCTCTGGAGCCCCCCTTCTGCGCTAGTTGTACTTTGTCCATGAAAATGTATCTCTAAGAGTTGTTCTCGGCCTTGGTTCCCAGGAAGAACCAAGAGGGCCTTGTACCTCCTGGTGCTTGGAGCTCTGGAATTTTTGGTTTTTTGCTTAAGGAAAGGCCATGGAAAAAGTACTGGGAAAACTAGTCAATACTACAATAGGTGACAGAGTTACAATACATGTGTGAGGAATACAGAGAACATAGAAAAAAAGGCAAAACCCAAATGGTATCACTTGTGCTCAAGTCACTTCAGTATAAAATCTAATGTCTCAGCTCAGGCAGCTGAGGAAGGTGGATGGTTCAAAGGAAGGTTTCAAACTCCTGTGAGTGCCGACTGTTGTGGCATGAGGGATACCCTCCATTCTGTTTGCTGTGACTTGACAGCAGCAATTTACAGCAGTGTTACAGGATGATCAGCTAGCAGCAGCAGTGCTTTAACCAAAACACTGGATGGAAGACATTTGAAAGACTTCACTGGACTGTAACAGGCATAGCAGAGAGAAGCACTATCCTGGCAGGCTCTTGGATCTCTTAGATAGCCTTTGAGGAATAAATAATTGTTGTTCTCACCTTATTGGTAAGATGGTTTAGGCTATCTCATGTCAACTTTTGTATGCGTTTTCTTGTGTATACCTCATCCTCACATTTATTGATGAAAAGTCTGAAAGCAGATCTTGAAAAGAAACAAGGGAAGAAAATATTTCTCTCTATGTACCCCTTTTTTATTTAAAGTCACTTTATCACATAGTTTAAGAATTGGTACAAAGGCTGTCTGATTCAGAAGCTTTTTTGCCTGATCTCGCTCCCTAACTGTAACTTAAAAATAAAATAGGAAGAGTTTGTAACCTCTAGCATGGGTCACCTTTGTGCCAAGGCTTAAAAATAACTTGTATGCTTCTTACGTGCTTCCTGTATGCTTTCCCAAGCATGGTGGTCAAACTGCAGGAGGTGGCTGTGTTTTTACATAGGGCAGGAGACATTTCCTGCACAAAGCAGCTGGGCTCACACACAAGGAAACTACACCTCTCCAGAGCTTGCTGTATGGCCAAACTTCAGCCAAGAGTTGCAACAGTGTGTTGGTGGAGGTTGTTCATTTAGGAGGTAGCAGGAAGGCAGAAAGTGGGAGTGAAAACAGCCATTGGAGATTGTCTTCTGCCTTTGAGTCTCCACTTAATGTCTAGCTTGCTTTCTCTATGGTCAAAAGATATTTTATATGAAGGGGTCAGGAATATGATAACCCTTAGCAGCCATCAAAACTGTACCCTGAGTCAACTGATAAATCCTGTGACAGCTGGTGGGAGCTGATGTTGGCAACACTACATTTCCAAAACTGGCCAAGTCCAAACAGCACAGGGAGAGGAGAGGTCTAAAATGTAGTGAGATGGTTTTTTCCTGCTTTGTTCAAGCAACTTCAGTAACAAAATGCTATTGTACCATGTGCCAATAGCAGGCAACATCTCTGAGCATTTGGAGGAATTTCACTGGTGTTGGTCTGCCAGCTGGTCCGTCAGCTACAAACCCTACAATCCCCCGACAGCTAGCAGTGGGATTTATTTTGGCAGGTGGAAGTAATCTTGGCCTCTAGTTGCATGGAATAGTAGTGCTAATTAGATGCTATGCTGAAATTCCAGGGTATGAACTGATTTATTCTGGCAGCTTCTCATCTCTTGCTTGCTGGAATGCAATTCCTTAACACCTTCTATACAGTAGCAGATCATATGCCTTCACCCTTTTCATGGAGAGATATATTTTGAAATTAATTTTCAATTGCATATGTAAAAATAGCCCTTCATAGAACATGGTGACCCCAAAGTAAGTCATAATTCAAAATTACATATATATTTTGCTTGCATGATCAGGTTCTGGTAGTGGGAGTACTACAGAAGTGGCTTCTGTGAGAAGCTGGCAGAAGCTTCCCCCATATCCATCAGAGCCAATGTCAGCCAGCTCCAGGAGGGGACCTGCTGCTGGCCACAATCAAGCCAGTCAGGAATGATAGGAACTCCTCTGCAAGAACAGATTTAAAACAAAGAAAAAAAGTTATTGCACAGTTGTGACTGTGACCAGGGAAGAACTGAGTGATAATATGAGAGAGGAAACAACTCTGCAAGACATCAAGGTCAGTGGAGAAGGAGGAAGAGGAGGTGCTCCAAGCACCAGAGCAGAGATTCCTCTGCAGACCATGGTGAAGACCATGAAGCAGCTGTGTGCCTGCAGCCCATGGAGGACAAAGGGAATGCAGAGATCCACCTGCAGCCCATGTAGGAGCCCATGCTGGAGCAGACTGTGCCTGAAGGACTGTATCCAATAGAAGAGTGACCCAGACTGCAGCAGTTCATGGGGATGGATTCATGCTAAAGAAGTTTGTGAAGATCTGTCTCCTGTGGGAGGGACTCCAGGCTGGAGAAGGAGAAGGACTTCTCTACCTGAGCAGCAAAAGAAGCAGCGTGTGATGAGCTGACAATCATTCCCTGTCAATCAGTCCCCATTCCCTGTCTTCCTGTGTTTCTGGGGTGAAGGAGGTAGAGTCCAAGAAGGAGGAATGGATGGGGGAAGGTGTGTTTGAGATTATTTCATTTATTATTATCCTGCTCTGGTTTGGTTATTAATAAATTCAGTTACTATCCCAAATGCGAGTCTGTTTTGCTATGATGGTATTTGGTGAGTGATCCCTGGATCTTATCTTAACCCACGAACCCTTTGTTATATTTTTTCTCCTCTGTCCAGTTGTGGAGGGAAGTGAGAGAGTGGCTTTGTTGGATACTTAGTGTCCAGTCAGGGTCAATCCACTACAACACGTTTTTCAGCTAATGAATCCTTGTACCTTTTTAAAAGGCCAAGACTTAACAAAATGGATTTTGAAAACATTCTTGTTCTGAGTCTTTTATGGGTTTTGTTTTCTAAATGACTACTGGTCTTTTAAAGACAATGGCTGATTCTCCTATTCTAATTAGTATCTTGCCACCTGTCTCTCAAATGATAGTTCTTTCAAGTGAGTTATAAAATTCCAGTGTGTATAATCCTAAAGGAAATAATTTCATTATTATTTCATTATTATGCTGCTTACAAGTATGAGTTTATAAGGTTTCCAGTGAATACCAGGGACCATGTTTTGCATATAGCCTTTTTCTTTTGTTTCACAACTTTTTTTTTTCTATCAGTGTACCAGGATGTTACATGTCATCCACCATCTGACACTCTGTTCGCTTTGTTCCTATAGGCAATTAGTCGTTACTTGCCAAGACGAGATCCAGTTTTGAAACCTCTGATCTACGAAATGGTCCTGCATGAATTTTTGGAAAGTGACTATGAGGTACTACAGCCTGATGTGTCCACATAGTTTTTGCCAGCCAAATACCCTTAGCAGTAAAGAATTCTGGCAGCAAATCCTCTGCTGTATTCAAGCAGATTATCAGTGGAGAGTTCCACAATAATGACAATATTTAAAAGTTGAATTTTAATTTTAAGAGAATAAATAGAATGTTCTTCAAAGCCTGCAAATACCGTGAGATTGATTATTTGACTGTTATTTTTAGGTTTTTTAATGTAGCATAAGTGGTTGAAGTGATGCACAAAGCCTACAGCAGCTGAAAGAGACTCATCTTCATGAATTGTAATAACATTGCCCTAAGAAGGAAAAATCTGTGTTCTGCAGATGTCTGTGGGCACATGAAAGTTCCTTAAAGGTTAAGGACAGCAGATATCATCTCAGAGGTTTAGCTGAAGCTTTGATGTTTTGAAATGCTCCTTAGGCCATTCTTTCTATTTCTGTTACAATCTCTTATACTTTTAGGGGTTTGCAACCCTAATAAAAGAGTGGCCTGGAGATCTGTACAACAACACAATCATAGTTCAAGCTGTAGTGGATCACCTGAAGAAAGATCCACAGAACAGGACTTTGCTACAAACACTTGCAGAACTGTAAGTACAGTTTTAAATTCCTGTTACAAAAAGTACACTTAAAACAGTGTACTGCAGTTTATTCATATTTGTTTAGTTCTCGTAACAGAAATCTTCTTTGCTACATCTACAGAGTGTTGGCTTTCTCTCCTCTACACTCTGCTTATTTCACAGCTTAGCAATTCTTTACCCTTCCTTGTAATGTTCACAACGGGTATGAAAGCAGTATGAAATTGTTAAGCATGAGATTGGATTTCCAACTCCTCTTTCCAAAGTAAATAACTAACATTTCTCTTCATGCTGTCACAGGAAACCTCTTTTCTGAAGTGTGCATTTCAGAATTACGCATGTAAAAATAAAATGGTGGGTGTATTTAAGAAGTAATGTATTGAGGTTTACTGCATGGATGGAAATATGTGACTGGAAAATGTGCCAAAACTGATCTGGTTCTTGGTCACTTCATATAGGGATAAAGCTCTTTGATTTTTCTCAGCCTGATCACTGTTATTTTTTTACTGCTTCTTTGAAGAAAGAAGAGTTACTGTCTATTGCTATGTTAAAATCTGCCCAAAAGTTTTAAGATAACAATGGTTTTTTAGCTTTGAAGAATGTTCCAGTTGGTTTCCAAGAATTGAAAGGTTAGCATTTTGTGTGAGTTGAAAATGGAGAATGAAAATGCAGAAAACTGCAGGTCTGAACACATATGAAGGCCAATATAAACAGAGGTGAAATTAATGTTGCCTGATGTTTATTTCCCTTTACAAAAATGAATCACAGGTCTGTTTAGATATTTATAAAATCAAGTAGTATCGTAACGTTTTACATACTAGAGTATGTTTATATTTTCTCTCATAATTGATTTTCCTACACTTAAGTATGTAAAATTACATGTATTGTAATCCTGTTTTTATCAGGTACACTTACGATCAGCGCTATGGCAGGGCCCTAGAAATCTACCTAACTCTGAGGCACAAAGATGTCTTCCAGTTGATCCACAAGCACAATCTGTTCAGTTCTATCAGAGACAAAATTGTTCTGCTCATGGATTTTGATTCAGAGGTATAGTGATCCTAATGATTTTATATTCACTTTCCTCTAGATAAAATTTAACAGATTAAAAATAAATTATCTATAGATGATGTTGAGGCAGAGAGTGTGTTCGCAGCATCTGGATACATTCTGAGATAAGGAAGATTGTTTGCCTGGATTGCAAAATAATTGACCCAAGGATTATTTTTTCCTTCATATTTCCATATGTATTTCCTTTCCATTTCCATTTGTCACTCTTGGTGAGAAGAGTGTCCGCATCATTTGAGAACATTGTTGTGGTTCTCAAGTCACAACATTGAATATCATTTCACACAGAGTATAATTTCACTATGTTATTCTGTCTGTATTTTGAATCAAATAATGGTATTAATAAGCCAAAGAAAGGAGGTAGTGAATTTATTTAAGCATATATTAAATGCACTTGCCATTCTCCTTTCACCACAGAAAATTAATCTGCTCCTGAAAGTATACAAGGGTATTAACCTAAATTCTGAAAATCAGGAAGTGTTCATTCCATATTGAATTCTATCTTCTTTCTTTCCAGTTCGCTGTAAAACCCAAGCACATTAATTTTGATGTGATCACTGGGAAGATAACCAAGTAGATCTCTTTTTTCAGTGCAATAGTTGTTTAAGCACTGTAGCTAATAAGGATCTCTACTATTGGTGATCATCTTTACTATGCCCATTTTTCTCCATTCATGGAGAAATATTTTTTTTTAATCCTATAGAATAAGTCGTATCAGGAATCTGTGCTTTGGTATTTTTTGAAAGTGAAGCAAAAGTTTGCTCCTGAAAAAGGAAGCAGAACCTAAATCCTTGTGGCTACTTGGCTTACATGGTCTTGTCTGCTTGATTGATGGTATTTGTCTCCAGGTAGTTTGGAGGAATCCAGTTGTGAGGCAGGTTGAATTGTGTGTTTCTTACATAGTCATCACCCTTTTGAGATGGAGCAAGTGGTATTTCTACATTATTTGGCAGTAGCTTTTTGTGACTGGTGGTGATTCAGTGGGCATACTTAACCTGCAGTGTAGGCGCACAGCATTTACTGCTATTAAGAGGGAACTTAAGAGAAGTATTCTGGAAGAATACTGTGATGCTGTGCTGTCAGGATGCTGGTGTTATGTAAATTGGTCTCTGAATTTCTGTTGCTGAAAAGAGTAGGTTTGTCATTCTGATGCCCATCAGTGAATAAGCATAATACTATATAGAGTGTAAGAAAATATGTGTACCTGTTACCTACTTGAGTTCTCTTTCTCTGTTGTAGAAAGCAGTAGACATGCTTTTGGATAATGAAGATAAAATTTCCGTGAGTATAACAAGTTCGTGGCTTGGCAGTCCTTTTTCCAGTCTTGTAAATGTGATGTTTATCAAAGGTTTGTTTTGTTTCAGATTGACAGAGTTGTTGAAGAATTAGAAAATAGGCCTGAGTTACAGCATGTGGTAAGTATTCCTGTATTCTGTTGATTTCAAGTTGAGCTGAGTAAAATCTTGGCTGGACATACCTTTTACAGGTGTGTTTATCTTGTTAAAGTGCACGTGACACTGAAATGTCATAAACCATCAAAGTGGCTACTTCTGCCAGTTTCCTATTTAGCATGGCTATAGCCTCTTCACAGTAGTTAAATGATCCTAAAATGTGTACCTGTGAGAATTTGGTAACATAATGTAGGCTTATTAATATCTCCTTATAGCATTGTAAACACTTGTCTTTTCTGGTCAATTACTTCTTGCTTTTATTCCTCCTTTTTCCCTACCCAACAATGGGATTGGTTGGTGGGTGCAGCTCTAAAATACATTTTGCTGATCCACAGAGAAAGTGAATTGCTTATTTTTCTGGAGCTGTAACTTCGATACACTGTTGAACTGTTCTTGTTTGTACAGAATTACAGTATCACTGTAAGGCTGTGGCTCCACAATGCTATTCCAAAAGCTCCTCTTTGGTTTGAACATCCTGTCAGTGGAGTACATAATATGGGACTGTGGGCTTGGGCTGTATTAGAGAGGGAAGTTTAACTTGCTGCTGGTTACAGATAGAGCTCAGGTGTTAATCTGGTGAAGAGGTGATTTATGGGTTAGAGATCTGATTATGGGAAGCAGATCTATGAAAAGTGCAGTCCACAGCCCAAGAGCTTTGCAGAGGCAACTGACAGACTGTCAGTTTACAGAAGGGATGCATACAGAGGAAAGCAACGAAGATGGTGAATGGTCTAGAGGAGAAGCCACACAAAGAGCAGCTGAGATCACTTGATTTTGTTCAGCCTGGAGAAGAGGAGTCTGAGGGGAATCCTTGTAGCTATTTACACCGTCTTCACAAGGGAAGCATCAGCAGGCACTAATCTTTTCTCTGGTGGCCTGTGACAGGACCCAAGGGAACAGCATGAAGCTGTGTCAGGGGAGGTTTAGGTTAGATATTAGGAAAAGCTTTGCCCACCACAGTGGCTGGGCATTGGAACAGGCTTCCACCCTGGGGAAGTGGTCACAGCATCAAACCTATCTGAGTTCAAGAAGCATTTGGACAATGCTCTCAGGAACATGGTGCGGTTCCTGGGGCTGTCCTGTGCAGGGCCAGAAGTTGGAATTTGATTATCTATGTGGTTCCCTTCCAACTCAGGAGTTTCTATAATTCCATAATAATATTGAATACATGAGTTTTAATTAGGATTCTTTTTTGACTCCTAGTATTTACACAAGCTTTTCAAGAGAGACCACCATAAAGGCCAACGGTATCATGAGAAACAGATCAGCCTTTATGCTGAATATGATCGACCAAACTTACTTCCATTTCTCAGAGACAGCACACACTGCCCATTGGAGAAGGTAAGCCCCAAAAATCTAAGCATCGGTCCTTGATTTTTATCAAGGTCCTGGTCTGTAGCTTGTAGTCTTGAGAATTTCAAGCTGTGTCTGGTACTGCCCTCTACTGCCAATATGAGGGATCCTTTAAGTTTGTGACCATCACCTGCAGTTTGGTTTGCAGAGCTGATGACACCTGAGACTTTCCTCTCTCAGCTCACAGGGCAGGAATTGATGGATATTTTTAATGCAGAAGTTCTGACTACAGTTCTGACTACAGTTCTAGCTACAACATACCTACTCATCAGTGCTTAGCCTGACTGAACAGTAGGTTATGGTTTCAAGAAATTGACAGTCATTTTGCCAAATCTAGGAGCTGTCAGTGTTAGATCTTGAAAAACCAGTAGCTGTAACTGTAGTTATTCTATCTTTTTATTGTAAGGCCATAAGTTTCTGTTTAATAATATACACATTATAGGTCACTGAACTAACAGGGCTAAAGTATTTTGTCTTTGTAATTTGGCTGATGCACTTGGGGTTTTACAGAGTACCAGGTTTCCATCTTCCAATATTTTTATATTTTTTTCTATTTTCCTTCCTTGCACTTTCTTGTCACATTACAAAATGCATAAAGGTAAGGCTAATCTTGAGTTGTTTTCCCTGCTTGAATTAATGTGAAACAAATGGAAATTCCAAGTTTTGCAGTATAGATGGGTCAGTATTTTATTATTTATATTTGTTGCTGTTAATGGCTGAGCAGAGCAGACCTTGTGAAAGGATGCCTATCCATATGTAGCTATAATGATGACACAGTGGAGTAGTTTCCAAGTGTAATATTGAATGTGGTATTTCACATGGTTAACATTCCGAAGAAAACTAGTACTTTTCCTGGTACATCTCTTGTTTTGCATGCTTTTATCTACTGGAAAATACTTTCTTAGATTATTATATGTTCTTAGATTGGAGACTTGGGATTTGTTGAAACCATTATCTGAAACTAGATTGACTAGTTTAGGCAGTGAGCATGAGAGGTTTCCAGCCAGAAACTTTGGTCTACAATATTGATTTACTTGTTTTTAACTTTCTGATTCTTAGTTTCTGCCTTATGTATTAGTCATGTGATCATGGGTTTATGTATAAAACCTCACCTGCATTTTTTTTTATTTTGAGACAAATTAATTTTAGTTATTGCACATCCAGCCTCCTGTCTTTAGTGGCAGGTGGTGCAGAAAAGTGCTGTGTGAAAATGATGCTCATTGCTGGCATTGCTTTTGCTGAAGATACAGGCTATGAACAAGAATAGGTCAGAGACCCATCAGCTTCTGGAAGGTGTGGTGCAGTAATCACCAAAGTCAAGAGAGAAGAATGTCAGAAAAAATGTGTAACCTTAATGTTAAAATGTTAACATCTTTCAGTAAGTCACTAAGGAAGAGACAAAAAGATAGTGTTAATTCTGTAATTATACTTCTTACCATGCATGCTGTGTAATAACACTTCTTGTGACATACAGATCTTTGTTCTAAGAAATAGAAAAGAGGACTAAGAATTTCCCAGTTACCTCTATTTTCAGTTCCTATTAAGCAAGTTCCAACACGGTATATACATCACAAAAAGAAATTTCTATTTGAAAAAATCCACTCTTATTATTGCTCTAATGAAATTACAAACTCATCAAGAAGAAATAATTTGTGCTCTCTAGAAGTAAACCACTTTTAGTCAAGTTCAGTTTAGCAAACATTTTAAAAATTAGCTGGAAGAGAAGTAGGAATGTTCCCTGTTTTCCTCTAGAGGGAGCATGACAGTCAGGAAATAGCAGTATCTAGAACTACTGAATACCTGGTGCTTTGTAGTTTACCTCTTAAGTGGAGAGGAAATAGAGGGCTGTCAGTTGTGTGTATAACTTATTAGCATTATTCATATCTTCATTCACCTGAAATATCTAGTTGGTAATTCACTTACCCCTAGCCCAAAATTTGTTGTCCATACCTCTGATCTTCATAGTAACCTTTCTGAAAAAAAGAGAATTTGAAGGAAAAGTAAATTCCTACCTTATCTTTGATTATAGCTGTACTTTATGTATTTAAAATTTTGATTTCCAAGTGTGAAGGTTGGTGAACAGTTGTCTTTACAGGAATGCTATGAATCTTGAGTTTGCTTTCTGTTTCTGGAAACAGACATGGCATTGTTTATGGCATACCAGCCCTGCTGATTTCTTATTACTACAAACTCATTGGTAATCAGTTTGGTAGTTTTTATAATTGTGCTGGTTTCCAACTTTTTTGATACAAAATTTGGAGGGCACTCTCTCTCCTGAAACCACTCTGGCCTAAGGAGATTTTCACCCTTGTCTTATTAATGAATGTAAAGCAGACTTCCATCACTAGAGAAGAGACCACACAAGTCCACCCACAGGAAGCAAGTCTTAATAGTAGATAACCTTAATGTTTTGTATTAACCAGCTTTTGACTTTTGGAGGTAAAATGAAGACGTTGCCCATAGAATTAAAAGCAGAGGTTGACATAGTCCGGACTGAAATACCTGTTCTGTCCCCAGATTTATTCAGTCTCAGAGAAGAATTTTAAAGAGAGTCATGCAAGTCACAAAGTTTCTTAATTAAGGCCTTGGCAGAGGACTTGGCAGTGCTTATTAAGGGAGCTGCATTCCTGTTAAGATTAATAATGTAACTTCATAGAAAAATCACTTCAAGCTTCTTGCAGCATTTGCGATCAATAAAATTTCATGTTGCATGGTTTCCTTATGTTCTCTTATCTCTTCTCTCCCCTTGTATTTAAGGCTCTTGAGATCTGCCAGCAGAGGAACTTTGTAGAAGAGACAGTCTATCTTCTGAGTAAGTAACTCAGAATAAATAACTGTGATCAATTATAACAGTTTTAAACTTGTAATAAAGTTTATGGTGTGAAGATATATTCTCTAATATCTAAATCAAATAACATGATTTAGAAAGAAAAAACAAAGCACTGGATGGATATGATGTCTTAACTTCATATATTGTGTTACTATGTTTTTTACTTGGTGTTCTTCTAGAGTACTGGAAGTGTTGCAGAGGCTATCGGGAACAAGTTGGGTGGGGAGGTATTTCTGGTACAATCTCCAAGAGAATAGTAATACTGTTGGTTTTGAAAAGAGAGGAGAAATTAAACAAATTCTTTATTCTGAATATATCTCAGGAGCTTGGTATTATTTTTTTGCTGAGATGAAAGATTTGCTGATATTGTTTTCTATCTTTTTATTTCCATAAAATTAGTTGTAAATTAACTCCTTCAGCTGGCCAAGAAATCTACCTCTGAATGAGAGGCATTGGAAGACTTATATGTATGTTTATGTATTAGTCATGAACAGAATAGTAAATATTTTTTAAACAATCTCTGGTTCAGTAAGAAGAATATTTTGTGGACCATTTCAGTCCAGTGGAGAGTATGATTTACTAATTAATTATTTTTAAAATAGTTCATAATTTCTGCTACTTCTTCCTGTTTCCTCTTATTTTTCATGGTTGCAAGCTGTGCTATACTTAGTGGAAATTAAGAGGCCTCATGTGGGCCCTTGAAGCTGGTATTTCATGTTATAGTTTCCATCTGTAGACATACACTCCCCCTCTTGTTAGATGTTACTGCAGTTCAGAACCCCAAATATGACCCAACACATCCTTGAGAAAACCTCCAGGTCCCAGTCCAGCAAACTGCTCCAAGTACTTGTTCATATTATACTGATTTGCATTCCTGCATCTGAATAGACTAGATTGGGTCTTAGTTGAATTAGTCTGAGTCAACTTCACACACACAAAATTCTTATTGAAAGACCACTGAACACTGATGAGCAATTAGCATTTTTAGTCTTTATTTTTCCTTCCAGGCAGAATGGGTAATAGCCGCAGTGCCTTGAAGATGATTATGGAAGAATTGCAAGATGTAGATAAAGCTATTGAATTTGCCAAGGAACAAGATGATGGAGAACTTTGGGAAGATCTCATTTTATATTCTATTGACAAACCACGTAAGTGGGATAGTTTTTGGGAAGCTTGCACATGTGGAATGCTTTTGCAAGTAAAGGATTGAATTATTCACTTGTATGTTAGAGAAGGTGTTTTTATATGGTCAGGGAGGTGTTACAGTTTGTGAAGGACAACACAGCTGTCCTACTGTGCATAAAAACTTGCAGTAAGGCAGTGTGAGGCTATGCTACACAATGAATACTTGGAGGCGTAACACTGAATAAGCTGTGCATAATTATTTCCTTAATGACAAATCAAGGGGACAGTAGTGCTTTTAGTTTAGCAGAATGAGACTTCATTTTTAGACAGCCTCAAAAGACATTCTGCAGCTTTGATGAGGATTCTGCATACTATGTTATTACAACTGCTTCCCTTCAAGATTCTGAAAATGAAAAGCCTACACCTTTCTTCCCTCAGTAAACAACTAATTTTTTTTCTATGTTACAAAGGTAAGATGGGCAACAATGAGTGCATTTTGTCTGTCATTCATTACATGAATAGCTACTCCAAGTTAAAAGGTTAGATGGACTCAGAAACATAAGCATCATTGTTGTCAAGGAGGCAAATTCAAAGAAGTTCAAATTACTAAGAAAACAGAGAATTTTCTTAACTATCTACTCCGTTAGTTTTTGCAACCTCTTCTGGGGCTTTAAATCAAGACAGTAAAGTCTCTCTTGGGACCTCTTTTCTGGAAAATTGAGAGTCTTGTAGAATTAGTGTCAGAATATGTATCTTTTCATCCCTTGGTTGCTAATTTTGAAAGGAAGAAGTGACCAGAATCTGTTAAATCTCAAGAAGAATGGCATTCTCATACTTGAATGCGTCTCTAAAAGTGATGCTACAGTCAGTGACAGCTTTAGAGCAAAAGGGATTCAAAGTATACAGAATTCTCTCAGTAACTCTATGTAACAGTTTCTGCTTATATGCAGATACTCCTCAGTTGTGGGGGTTGAAGAAAAAACACAGCCTTGAGTCATCATTCTAGTGTGTTTTTTAGCCAGATGCTCTTCAAAGAGAAAAAGACTTCTATCATGTCCCTCTCACCAATGTTTAGAAGCACATTGAAATCAGGTTAGGTGCTCAAAAGTTTGTTCTAAAACCCTGGAACGGGGAATGGAATTACCACATAAAGTAATTAGTAGTTAGTAGTTAAACACTATTTGTTTGAGTGCTCTTTTTATTGAATCAAAATGCATTATTGTGAGTTTGTGCTGGAGACTCAGTTACCACTTTGCTGAATATGCTGTAAGTTCTCTAAGTTGCCAGACTGTATCTTCCTCACTTTCCCAAAGGCTTGTATTCAAGTAAATACAGCTGCAAGAAACATACAAAGACTTAGTGTTTTCACTTAGTAGAGAGCTGTCAAGTAGCTTGTCACCAAAGTATCCTTTAATCAGATATTTTGCTGGATGGTTTTTCTTAATTTCTTTACCTCTTGGTTTTCACAGCTTTTATTACTGGTTTGTTGAACAATATTGGAACCCATGTCGATCCTATTCTTTTGATCCACCGCATTAAGGAAGGCATGGAGATTCCTAATTTGAGAGACTCACTAGTGAAAATTCTTCAGGATTACAACTTGCAGGTAGATGTTGCATTCTTCATGGGATACTAATTTTCAGAGAGACAGCAAACCGTCTTTGTCACTGAACAGCACAAGAAATTGCTATCGTGATTTGTTCAGTCATTGGTCATGGACACTGTGGGCCCACACAAAACTATGACAGAAATAGTGGAAATTTGCCAAGGTTTCTTGATGTCTTCTAGCCCTTCTAAATGTCTTCCATACTGTTATAAGCCTGGTGGGTAAGTTGAACTGGTAGTATCTTGAGCAATTCAGCCTATTTTATACTGCCCAACTGTCCAGTATTGAAAAGTTTCAATACTTCTCATTCTGTTTCACATGAATGCAGAAGCAGAATGGAGGCAGAATGCAACATGCCCTCGCTGAAGCATTCATCAGGTGTTAGAGTCATATGTTAAGTATCTTACTAACTGAAGGAAGATGAACTTTTAAAATCAAATTCATGTCAATGATGCAGAATCAGTTGGTTAGAGCATGATTCTAATAATGCTGAGGTTGTAGGTTCAATTCCTGTATTATGGACCATTCAGTTTAGAGTTGGACTCAATGCTGCTTCCAACTCAGAATATTCAGTGCTTGTGTTGCTGTTTATGCATTTTTTAAAAAATTGACTGTCCACTGGATTATGGAAGTTCTTACCCCAGCATAATTATACAGATATGTGCATTCCCCTACGTGGTTGGTTCTGACACATGTTTGTAAGAACTTACAAGAAGCATACCTTTCAGTGTTCCCTGTAAGTAGCCAGCAGAGTATATTGCATTGCATATTTTAAATCTCCCTGCTACAAAAAGAGTCACAAACTTGAATTCTCTGTTATGCTGTTCTGCATCGCTCTACTGAAAAATGCAGATGCCTCCAGTGTGACTATGCAGAGTCCAAGAAAACATAGCTCAGTAGGCTGCTGAAACTCTGATTTTCTGAGCCTCAAACATTTGCTCTCCATCTGCTATTAGTCTTTTTACATTTCGAGCAAATAGATAGACTCAATGGTTACATTAAGGTCATGGCTGTTATCTTGCTAGGCAAACAAAACCCATATTTCCCTTCAGGGAAACCTAAGGCTTTTTCATTATTTTATTTTTATGTGAACTTCAAATTATTACTTCAGCTATTTCAAAGAAGCATTTTACATTTCTTCATCTCCCAACACCTGTAAATAGACACGTTTGCAAATAATGCATTTTTAAACATTACGTCAGGCTTTGACTTCATCAGGTGAAGTCCAAAGTTAGTATCCTTCCAAAATGGAGGATAGCTAAATAACATGCTGCATGTTAATCTTGCTGCTGTCAGTATCAGCACTGATCCTCCTGTTCCTGCATTCTCGTGAAATCAAAATGTAATATCTGTTGTGTTTGCAGGTAGACTGAGAAAGTCTGTCTGAGACTGAGAAAGTATGCTGTAAGCATAGCTTCAGCTTTACACATATACAGAGTACATTGCATGGCTTCAGACAAAGCTGATGACGTCAATATGGTCATATTTTGGGGATGGAAATACAATTTTTTCTTCAAATACCTTTTAACAGAATTACTTTTGGATTAAAAGCGTGTATTTAATCTTGAGAATGATATCTAAAATAATCTACTGTTAGCATTAAAATGATTCATGGATTTCAAATTAATTGATTTTGAAGTAGAGTTGGGTAGTTCTAGGGCTAAAATTTAAATTCCTTAGGGATAATAGAAATTAGGGAAGCTTAATGTAATTTGTGCTTGGCTTTCTTGTATGAAAGAAAAAAGTATAGCCCCAAAAAAGGCAATACTTCGTTAGAGAAATTTAAGTTATAGTTTCAAATTAAGTCTGTTCCTTAAGTGTTACTGGCAACATGAAGTACACTGTTCATGAACAGATGGTATATCTACATTGAAATTTAGAGATCTTATTGCTGGTCTTGCACACTCAACAAAGTAGCCAATTTTGTAGAGGAACTCAAATTTTATAGAGGGACTGTTTTTGTTATTGCTGCCTAATTAGCTGTTTTAAAGCTAGTCTTCCGTGTGTTTGTGTGATGCCCGGTCATACCTCTGCACATTTTTGTAAGTTCATGCTGAGAAGTCACTGGCCTTTATTCTGGCCTGACACAACTCTGGCTTTTGGTAGAAACCTCTTGATGTGTAGTATGGAGCATACGAGCATACCGGACATTTTGAACTCAATCAGAAATACGAATTTCATGGGCTAGGATTTTCTGTGTCTTCATCTTTTTGGATCTCAAGCTCCGTATGCATATGTTTTATTGTTCTCATTTTCAAAGGCAAAAAGAATCTTGTGCTGGGATCCACGAAGGAGGAGTGCAGATGGAAAGAGAACCTGCTGCTTGACTTGCAAGTCACTGCCTAACACAAAAACTGTGCTGGTCTTTCCATAATGATGGCTTTCCAAAAGATGTTGCTGCTGTGTCATTATGTTGTTTAATTGTGGGCTCCTTTTGTAAGCCCTGATAAGATTGTTTTATGCCTATGTAAGCATGCCAATGCAAATTTCCTATTAAGCTCTTGAGTTTCCATACCAGTAAATTTTACTTAGGTGTGATGTGAAATACGGGTAGGAGTTAAAAGCAGTGCCTTTGACAGACTTCCTCTTTTTGAGAACAGTCCTTTCCATCTCAGCAAAACCAAGTGAATCAAACTGAGTGGCTAGCAAAGTATGTGTGACTCACAGTGTGCATTAGAGAATCCAACAAGAAAGTCTACTAATGCAAATTTTATTGTATTTTTTTTTAATATGGACTCTTCCTTGAATAATTTTTTATGATGTTGGCAGATTGCAGACTGATGGCTTCATTTTTAAAAAATTGCCACCCACTCGATGAAATGCTACCACTGCTCTATATGCTACTCTAAGCTCACCTCAGCTTTGTGGTTAACCTTTGAAATCTGATCACTACCAAACAACCAAGCATAGCACTAAAGCAGAATTAGATATTGTTTTGGGCAGAAACAAAATAGAGATAATGTGCAACTTTTTTCTGCCATGAGCTTAAAACTGAGCATCCTCCTAACTATTCCCCTAAGCAGGGAAATATTTAAGTGGTTTTTTTAATTGGGATTAAACCTTGAAGTGATTTTTTTTGTTGGTTTTTTTTTTTTTTTACCCATGAAGATAATTTATTTTGGTGTTTTGTCTTTGACACTGTTTGAGTTAATGTATTAAAACCATAGTACATAATCAAATGACCCTGATTGTAATGATGAAAGTTTATTTACTGCTGAAATAATGCTGATTTTAGTGTTTATATACAGTAACATTCACAAGCAACAAAGTTATAGGGTTTTTTTTATTTTAATAGGAGCATTTATCAAATAAAATGTAGTCTGAAGCTTTTTTAGTGCTTCTGAAATTTACTTTGTTGCTGTCATAAATTTATAGATAAATTAGTCAGGTAATCTTAAAGAGAAACCTGATTACTTATTAGAAATTACACATTCCTAGTGCTTTTTTTTAAGTGCAAATGAATCACCATTCTCCAGGTTTCTAAATCATTGTATCACACATCTCACAAAGAAGGCTGATTGTAAAATCTCCTTATTTGTAGACTTGTGAATTAATTATAAGCCTGTTGTGCTTTCCAAATGTATAAAATAGGTGTCTTTTCAGCTTTAGTTCGTATCTGAATGAAATGTAGGAGTGGTATTGGAAGAGGCTTAAATACCTCCCTTGTTTTAGAAAGAAATGCTTCATTTTTCACCCTTTCTATGTCATTTGTTAGAATAAATCTTTGAAAGATGTTGATTTTCTTAGACTCCTAGCTTTAAAATACAGAAGCAATTTGTTTAGATGTAGTATACTTAGAGATTTTGTAGATTAGCATTTTACACAAACACTGACTTACTAGTTTGTACTTTGAACCTGCAGGAACTCTGATGGGTAACAGACATTGATCCATTCACAGAATTCACATCTCTCCATTCATAATAGACTTTATGAACTAGCAGAACCCAATGATAATCCAATGAATGAATGCTTGAAACAGCACCTGGAAAAATTGTTAGGTTATGTTCCTGAACATAACTAAAAATGCTGTTCAGACACATTGGAGTCACTAGAGGCCAGGTGGCAGCTTGCACAGGGGGAGATGTGCCTTTTGGCTGTAAAGAGTGAAAATAATGTGTTTTAATTGCGGCAGTGATGCTGTTTGAAAGAATTTGGTTAACTGGCCTTGAGAAACTTGGACTTGTTTGTGGGTTAAGCTGAATCAAGGCCTGAATTAATTCCCATAGTTTTGAGTATACCCTTTAAAATTAACTCCATACTGCAGTGCTTTTCTTTAAAGATAATGTTAGGCTTGATTTACACATGTAAATCAAGGCTGTTTTAATCAAATAGAATGGTTTATGCCTAATATCTTCCCTAATATAGCCAGAAAACAAATTATTTTTTGCAATATCAGTTTTGTTTTTAGCAATTTTCATTAATTTCATGAAAGGCATTATTTCTGCCTAAAACTTCTTTCTGTAGGTGCATAATCCTGTCATGCTTGTGCTCACAATTACATTCTTTGAAAGGATAAATAAAATTCAGTTTCATCGTCAGTACTGTTTCTGTGATGAAAGTGGTTTCATCACAGATTTATGCCCAATGTCAGTTTTAACTAGTTCAACTTAACCTTAAGGTGCACAGTTACCTATTTCTCTCCCCTTTAATGAAGCTCCCACTCTCTGGACTCAAATTCCCTTTCCTTTGCTTTCTGTAACTCTTGAATTATCCATTTTTAAGGTCATCAAATAAATTTCTACAGAAGTGTTGAGAATATATTACCTTGAGAATAGACATTTTACATTCTGCATTGCGATTTTTCCTTTTGTATAGTAATGGCTGCCTACTGTTTTCCATTTCTAGCAAAATAAAGTCTGACAGTCTTTATGTGGTATGGAAAGATCTTAGTGCTGTTTAAATAATGGGAGAAAGTGCATATTTCTTAAAATATATGTTTTATCAGATATTTCTGTTACTCCTGGGTTTTAAGGCATCAAACATTATCAAGGTTTTCCAGTGAGCTAGTGATGTCTGTTGTTTCCCTCTTCATTGTTCTTTCTTTTTAATTAATTTTTTCTATTACCACACTGTATTTTAATTAAGAAATGCTAGGACACACTTCCGTCTTCCCATTGTATCTTTGTTCTGCTTCTTTCATTTAACATGGTCACAGCACCAAGGTTATCAGAGTTCAAGAAACATTTGGACAATGTTCAGAGTCACTTGGTGTGATTCTTGGTGCTGTCCTCTATAGCACCAGAAGTTGGACTTGACACAGTCTCATTTGTCCTTGCTAAAAGTTTCTTGTATTTTTTTCAAACCTAGCAACATTTTTCTTTATTTAGAACAAAATTTTACTTTCTTTGTTGCCTTTGGATAAAGTTATCAAGGGGAGGACATAGCCAGATTGTTCCTGAGATTATCAACAGATAAAAATTACTCATTTTCTAAGTGTTTGCCTTGTAGATCTGCATTTAGTTGCTGGTGCTCTGAAATGTTTTATAGGTCAATGTCTCCAATACTGGAAAAGTGTCATTCACCCACTGATATGCCCAATTTGAAATGTTCACAGTATTACTCAGTGTTAAATTTTTTTAATGTACTTCAGATTTGCAGTCTTATCTGCAAATCTGTCATTCTTAGCAGTGTGTCCTTAATACTTCAGAATGTATATGTGAAAAGGTGGAGTTTTGGACAGTGTCCACCTGGCTGTAAAATCTGTTATTGTGCTTTTTCTTAGGTCTTTGCATTATCTGTATTTTGCACTGTCTTAGAATGCTTGCTGTCTCCTGTAATGAAAATTATCAGAAGAAAGGAATGAGCATTGCTTCTTTATACCTCTCTTTTAGTAGGGTCAGTCACATTATACTTAACTGTATCTTTGGGAAGCAGTTTTCAAAGGAATTGCTGTCTTGGAAAACAAATTTCCAAACATCAGATGGGTAGGAGGAAGAAAAAATTCCAAAATACTTACTTGGGTTTGTCGCCTTTCCATACTTGCTCCATTAAGTATTGTGAAATAAGGTTCTGTATAATTGTTATGCCCTCGCTTCTTCTGTGTTTCAAAACCATTGTCAATCTAATGAAAAATACCAAATAAGTCAAAAGAGATCTGAGACTTTTGCTGAAGAGGAATGAACTAGGAACCTTTGGTTAGTTGCATGGACATATAATACTGCTTATTAAATGACTCCTCAGCGGGATATATGTTTGAACACAATGTATTTTGACTTGCAGTGTTCATGAAGGTTTTAAGATTATCAAATATCTTTTCTGAAGAAGACAGGAAAGATACAGGAAGAAGAATTTTAAATGGTGTGGAAATTAATTCTGAGGTGCACTGTAAAAATTCCTCTCTGTTGTAATTTGTTAACACTGTCTCATAGAAAGACATTCATAATTATGATAATAGTATCTCTGTAAAGAGTTCTATTTCTTGATGTTTGTTTTTGTTTTGTGGGGTTTTGGGGGTTTTTTTTATGGGCTTTTCATTTAGGTAGAGGTGATGGCAACAAAAGGTTCCTCCTTTATAATACCTTGAAAAGTTTTAAATATTCCTTGCACTCACTTTGGCAGCAAAAACAGAGTGATGACTTGTCAAGATAATTAATATGCCCATCTGTTCAACAACCGCTGTCCTTTATGTTCTTTACACCAACAGATTTTGCTGCGGGAAGGTTGCAAAAAGATACTTGTTGCTGATTCTCTTTCTTTATTGAAGAAAATGCATCGAACTCAGATGAAGGGTGTCCTGGTGGATGGTGGGTACAGAGGAAACATGATGACTTTCAATATTTTAAAGACTATTTTATATAGACTGTTTATATACCTCTTGACGGTCTGCTTTTGGAGCTGCCCAAAAGCCTGCATTACCTTATCTGTAGAGTGTAGTAGATGCTTTTCCCCTTTGCAAAGGAACTACTTGTATCTTAAAAACTACAAGACCCAGTATGCAACTGTTTCTCTTGATCAATCTCTGTATAGCCAGTATTGTATTGTGTCCTGCAGTTTCTCTGTAAAGGTGAAAATTCTGTTTAGTACCAGGATGGACAGTCAGAAGGTAATAATCTGCAGCCAAAGCAAAAGATACAAGAACATTGTCAGAAACAGTTGAAAATATTTTGCAAGGTACTAATGATGCATGTGAACAGCACTGTAATTCACACCAGCTGAGTGTTGATAGCAAGAGACAAAAGCTGACAAAAGCTGGCAGGACAGAATACCAGAGCTTCTGCTCCAAAATGCTGCAGAGTTAACAGCCACCCATCCCGTGCTCCTTGTTTCAGTTGCCTTTTGTCTCTTCAGCACTGATCCTAAACGGCCTCAATCCTGTAGTTCTACCATCATCAAATCTAAATATTTATCCTGTTGTTATTAGAAGGGCTACTTCAGTATTGCTGTTCAATTTTTAATAGATTCTGTTAGACATCTTAAGTAAATGCTTTAGGACCAAGCTCCATTTATGTAATAGCAATATGTTCATTCCTGCTTTATAAAAAAGTAAATATGGAGTTTGTGAACAAAGCTTAATTTTCTTTTGTTTTGTTTTTCAGAGGAGAATATCTGTGAATCATGTCTGTCTCCAATACTTCCTTCAGGTAGGATGCTTTTCTAGGGAAAAAAAAAGAGGTTGTAAATTTTTTTAGTAGTATTTTAAGATAAATTGCTGTTTGCTTTTATTCATAAAAATGTGTAATCTCCTTTGGTGTTCGCTGTATAAATTTCAATTATCAATGCAAAACTTGCTTTGAATTCTGATATAGGAGTGGAATCTAATTGAACATTTTTGTTGCAGTAAACCCAGAAATTCTTTCTTATTCAACTTTGACTTCCTTATTTTCTGTTTTGAATACATGGAATTCAAGGCAACTTTTAATTCTGTCAACATACGTGTTCTCAAAGATTATTAGAACCGCAAACCTAAGCCACCAAATCTTGTCCACGTCTGTTGGATTATTCACACTGAACCTGTAGACTGTAAAATCTTATGGAATGTATTTTTGTTTGAATGGTGGGGAGTTCTTGGCTTCAGTCGTGGGTGCCACATTTGCAACATCTTAAAACTGACTAGCTTTAGAACACCTTCTAAAGTTAGTTCTGAAAACAGAAATTCAGGATGTTATTTCAGAGATGTACATTCTTCAAGGCAACTATAGTCCAGAAATATTAATGTAGTTGTTGGGTGTCTTAAAAAGAAGTAGTTTTACTAAGACAATATCTGTTGTGGCCTGTTAAAATAAGAATATATAAGACAAAGCATATGTACAGATACAAACATATTTGTTTGTTTTCTAGGTGTTAATAGCCTGATAGAATCACTTACAGTTTATCTAGTTTCTGCCATTTTTCACTTAAATAAATAAATAAAAACAACTATACTGGGATCATGTGCAGCAGTATACAGACAGGAGAATCTGGCAGAGTTGAATGTGCTAGTGCTTTGAAGTGTGTGTGTTGAGAAAAAAAGAGCCAAAATAGAATGTGAATGATGCTCATGAGTGAGATGGTTATTCTTTAGATATGTGGATGTTGTATTTAGGGTTCTAATTTGGCTAAATATTCATGTGGGAATGAAAACTCACACCATGCACCTAGCAGCTTGTTGCCAAATTTCAGGATCATGGCGTGTAGTGCAGGCTCTAGAACTGCTCAGTGTTCTGGTTCTCTTCACACTAGTGCAAGAATTTTTCTGCTAACTTTTCTTCAAAGCAGCTGCATTATTTGGTGGTAGTTTACTCTTCTCCCTGCCCAAATTTAGCATGTAGCATATATTGAGATGAAAAATTCCTGATAAGAAAGTAGACAGTATCTAAGCCACAGAAAAAAATTATTTTGTAACTCTATCCCTGGCACACCTTTCCTGAAGCCATCACTGTTAATGGTTTCTATTAATGAGCCAGAATAATTTGGAAATTATTTTGAGAGATGTTACTTAAGTTTCTCTGTGTATGACAGAATGTGGGCATATATTGCTGTAGCCACTACATCATTTGTTTCATTGCCCTGTTGAAATTAATGTATTTTTTGTTTCCTAGATGCATCCAAGTCCTTCAGTGTGGTAGTGTTCCACTGCAGACACATGTTTCACAGAGAGTGCCTACCTGTATCTAACACAGTAAGGAATTAGCTTAATATGTCTGACACCTTGGCCAAAGATAAAGTGACACATTTTCTTTTGTCAGCTGAGGAGAAGGGCATGGGTCTATGAGGAATTGTATGATTATAGTAATAACTTGTGATGATACCACATAGTAGTATGTGACCAAGGAAAGGGAGTTTAAGGATGCTGCAACTAAAGTTCATCCAATGTAGAAAGAAATCACTGCTGTTTGAACAGTATTTAATCACTTTCTGCAATGTGAATATGTAATGCAACTCTGAGACATACAGGGAATACAGTCTGTCTAATTTTTAAATTCTTTTCCATTCCAGCTTTTACTTTAACTAAACATACTCAAAGATGAGAATAAAGGTATTTTCTTAAGTGAACCATATTAAATGATTCTGGCCTGGAGGACAAAAATCAGTTATTTCAGAGTGAATATTTAAATATCTTTGTAATCATCCTTATGGTCAAAACATTTTTTTCTGTGTAAGTTATTTGGGGGGTTGGTTTGTTTGTTCAATTAACACAAAGCAAAAAATAACTTCTAGATATGACAGGGTTTAAATTTAGCAGCGAAAGCATTCGAATGGTAACAAACTCACATAGAAAATTAAATGTAAGTCTTTAAGATTCTGTATCTATCTCTGAAAATTAACATGTAGTGAAAAAATAGCTTTAGTGAATCATTTCATCTGTAAGTAAACAAAGTGCTTGTAGCCATATGGTACAGCATGGATACTTAAATATGTTAGGAGAAGCTGATTGTATTAGATCATTTGTACAAGAAAGTCCAACAACTAGTAAATATTTCTTCAATATTTGCCACAAATTTTATTGTGAGAAATAATCTAAAATTTGTCTAGCATTCTCAATTTTCTGGGGCAGGTGACTGATTAGGTGGGATTTTTAATTGTTACGTAGATATTATATGATATATATTCATGGACAGTATGTATGAATACAGGGGTGTATGCATGTAACAGAGCCTAATTTCCCCTGATACATTGTATTATGTGGCCTTAGGTTATCCGTCATGTTACTGATATTTGATTATCAGTGACATACTAAAATGTAAATAGTGCATGCACAAAATGCACATGGAGCTAAACAGAGTAACAATAAACACATCTTTGATGTCAAATGACAGTATTTGGGCCCTGATCTCAATTGTTGGAAATCTGTGGAGCACTACCCAAAGACAGAGCTGTGACTAAGGCATCCAGTGGTTATTGGAGCTGACCAAGTGACTTAACTCTCATCTTTATATATGAAGATAATCAGTGATTCTTTTCACTGTGTACTTTTCATTTTTGGTGTGGAGAAAGTTTGACATTACTCTTCTGGCAGGTGGTATTAATACCCTTGGAGTGAGAGGTGATTTGTGCTGCCCTCTGACTCCAGAACAGCCTGCCTCACTATGTTTTTCTGTATTGTCTTCCCTCACCTATCCATGACTATGTTGATTTGGAACAATCTGGCTGTGAGCAGTAATATTGAGAAGGGCACTAGGACTTTTCATTCATCTTCACACATTCTGCTGTGGCTAAATTTCTCTGAGAGATTTCCTGTCTTCTTTTTTGATTTAGGTATCTTCTGTCCAGTTCTGCAATATATGCAGTGCCAAACACAGGGGGCCAGGAAGTGCAGTCCTGGAGATGAAGAAATAGCAGTGGCTTAGTTCTCCATGTCGGTCAGTGACACCAAATCTGTTAGGACCATGCAGAGCCACTGTAATTTTCCATTTCTGTATATAATTTTGATTGTGATTTAAAAGTGGTTCATGTAGTTTATCCTGTTTATTGAATATTTTGGGTAAGGAGAAAATGTGAAAATCTTTGTCTGGTAAGTCTTTGTTATGCAATTCATATGTCATGGTTCCTTTGCTCAGCTTGTTACTTCATTCTGGAACAGAAAAAAAAAATAAAACGGGAAGAAAAAAACCCATGCAATTTAGAGATTTGTGTTTGCTATGAGTTAATGTGCTTTACAGTTTGGAACCACATTGGGCTTATGGTTGGATATTGTAAAAAAAAATGTAATGCCATGAATTCAGCTCACCAGACTACTTCAGTCCTGATTTAGTCTAGCAGGAACCTGTTTACCTTGAGACCTATAGGAGTCTGACTCCTTTCAGTGGAATTGCTTCAGAACCTCAAGTTGTGTGCCAACTCATATCTTCAGTTAACAAATTTGTTAACTGTGAATTCCATACATTGGCAATTTGCCTTGGTTACACATTCATAGTTCATTAGAAACTGGTTAATTTCTCAATTAATCTTCACAATACAGTAGTTTAAAGTGAGCTTTTCTCATGTTCAACTCATCCAGAAACTTTATTTTTAAAAGTCAGCAGAAGGTCTTTATGCTTATTTTATATATGGTTGAAGTGCATGGTTTCATTTAAGTGCAAGGGAAAAAAAATGTATCTGATTTTTCAAAGGTAAGATCTCTAGAAGTTTCTTCTGGCTTTAGCAATTTAACAGCTAA